GGGTCTCCAGGTCTGAGCTTCAGCTCATTTTCAGCCTCCTGCTGAGACCAGAACCTGAGTGTTTCTGTTGGTACTTAGACCCGTGTGAACACCCTGTGGGACGCCTCCTCTGGGCTCGGACCAGAACCTGGCCTAGTACGAACAATGTGGTTTCCAAACAGAACTTGAGATTTGGACCTGCCTGACCTCAGAACAGTTCTGGACTTAAACCTCAGTCCATTTGAAACGAGCTCTGGTCCAGAGAAGACAGCAGAGGTTCGGGGTGGTGTTCACATCTGTGAACAGAACCAGAACCAAACCTGTTTTTAATGCAGACAGGTCCAGAACAGAACCCAACCTGGTTTGGCCCCTGAGGACATTGTCCTCTGAGCTCAGGTTTCTTCAGATCCTTCTAATCTGTGGATCAGATTATGAACGGGAGAGGATGGAGATTAAAGTCTTTATTCAGGAACTTTATTCTGAAATTCATTCTGGAACTTTATTCTGAAGTAGTTCCTCCAGTTTTAGACAGATTACTAAACCTGTGCCCATCTTTACTTCTAACAGTCTCTGACTGAGCTGCTGATCATTCAGCTCAATGATTACGGAAAAATGTTCCTCCTGGTTCTGATCCAGTTCGTTCTGGTTCTGATGTGGTTCCTCCTGGTTCTTATACAGTTTTGAGGACAAGGACGGATTTCATCCTGGCTGTATTTCACAGATGCATACTGTTCTTCAGAGACTGAGCAGAGGACATCACTGGTAGCAGTCTCCACATCATCCAGGACATCTACCACAGCCGATGACTGTGTAAAGCACACAGCATCATTAAGGACCACACCCACCCAGCACAAGGACTCTTCCATCTACTACCCTCAGGCAGACATTACACAAGTCTGTCATCATGTACAAAAAGACTAAAGGACAGTTATTATCCACAAACTGTCAGATTACTGAACTCTTGATAAATAACACAGAAGAACTGGCAAAAACTAATAATTCAACCTCAATGTCACAACCTGCGCAATAACCTATCACACAACCCGTGTGGTATATGTTAATTATGTGCAGTATATATATTTATATATATATATACAGTATATATATATATATATATATACTTCCCATGGGCTCACCACCTGTGGGAGGGGCCAAAGGGGTCAGGTGCAAAGTGGGATGGGTGGTGGCCAAGGGCGGGGTTCGATGATCAACTTTGTTGGCATCTCATCTGATCTGCGGCCGCATGTCTTGGACACTCAGGTGAAGAGAGGGGCGGAGCTGTCCACTGACCACTACCTGGTGGTGAGTTGGCTCCGATGGTGGGGGAGGATGCTGGTCAGACCTGGCAGACCCAAACGTATTGTGAGGGTCTGCTGGGAACGTCTGGCAGAGTCTCCTGTGAGACGGAGCTTTAAATCCCACAGAGAGAACTTCGAACACGTTCCGGGGGATGTGGGGGACACTGAGTCAGAGTGGGCCATGTTCCACGCCTCTATTGTCGAGGTGACTTATCGAGGCTGTGGCCGCAAGGTTGTCGGTGCCTGTTGCGGCGGTAACCCTTGTACCCAGTGGTGGACACCGGTGGTGAGGGATGCTGTCAGGCTGAAGAAAGAGTCCTATCAGGCCTATTTAGCCTGTGGGACCCCGGAAGCAGCTGATGGGTAAGGCAGTCCAAGTGGCATGTGGCTTGGGTGGTCGCTGACGCAAAAACTTGGGCATGGGAGGAGTTCGGAGAGGCCATGGAGAATGA